TTTTCTTTTAAAAAAATTGCGTTTATATATAGATAATACTTTAGTCACCAGAAGCACATTCAAACACAAGTTAGTAGTATTTCTAGTACATGTCTCACACGTATAATTGCTACTTAACTATTCAATTCTACTTGAATATCCTGTACTCTGTGCTAAACATGATTTTTATTTGCTGTTTTTAACTAAAGATATAAGTCACTTATTAATATCGTGGTCTTCTGAAACGTAGGATTTAATGGGCACGAGTTGGGATAGGACACATGTTGGGAAAATAATAATGTAAAGCTGTTATAAATTGGGGTGTCTTTGAATATAGTTTAATGATCAGTTCATATGCAGAGTAAACAAAGTTCCATCCAGTTGCAAAGCAGAATTGACCCCCTGCTTTTCATAATATTTGAGTCTAATCTAAAATGTAATTTGTTTAAAGATGAGCATATAAATGTTTGGTAGCCTTGACATATAAGAATGAGTAATTTTCTAAAAAAAAAAAAGTAATCTTTAGAGGAACTGATTGCTCTCTAGTCGAAACTTGTTATCAAAATAAGGGGGTTTATTTAATCCAAGATTAATGATAAATAAAAATATCAAAGATATCCATCATCTGTTTTCTGTCATGTCTGCTTTCACAGTGCTACACTTTCTTAACCCACATCATGTTTTCTTTCTACCCACAGCCTAGCCCATAAATTTCAGTCTGTCTCTGCCTTTCTTTCATATACATACAACAATGAATAAGTAAGGCAGAAGTTCTCAGTAATTTTTAATTCAGGACTTCCTAACAATTGAAAATGCTACCACCATGATGACTGTTCTCATTCGTATTCAGTCTTGGGGGAAATGCATATGTGTGCCAGGATAGGACCCCCTACCACAGCTTAGAGACTAAATTCATGTTATATGAACAGCTATAAGTTTTATTATCCTTAGGTTTTCCTAAGGATAAGTACATAAAATGAATGTAAAGGGCCAGGCAACATACCTAGAGCAAGTCTTTCCCTGAACCTTACCCAAAGAAAAAAAGTATTTCCAGTAGAAGATTTTAGTTTTAGTATTTTATTTGATTATAAGTTTAAGAAGGCCTGAAGAAGTTTTTTTTTTTTTTTAACTCTATTAGGTATGCTATTTCCTTCCTTTGGCACAAGTCACACTAATGTTTGGATTTATGTACAAGTGACTCTTGCTTTATGTAAACCCATTTTTTAGCAATTTTAGAGTCAGTGAATTGGTAGACTATTGTAGAATCTGAAACTTTATGCTTCGAACTTTTAGCCTGCAACATATCAGCTAGGTTAGATCATGTTATCACCTGTTGAGTAGAGTATAAGAAACCACATCTACTGTATGAGATTAGATGCCTGATACTTACTGTGCAGTGGGAAAATCCAGACATGGAGGAACTCAACATGGACCCAAAGATAAAGCAAATAGAGAATGGGCTATGAAGTCGAGAGAGCCAGAGCTGTACCTTGCGACTAAGGAAATAGGAGTTATTAAAAGTTTGTTAGTTTTCACTTCCAGTCTCTGGGCTTTTTAATAACAATTTTAAAAAGTAGAATTTGCTTTTCATAAAGTCTCTTGATGACTTAAGTCTTCCAAACCATGCTTGTTTTATAAAGCACAGAATATCCAATTTAAAAAAAATTGGATGGTTTGGGGATTCCATTTAAGCAATTGATTGCCTTTGTTTACTGTTATTAGAAAACATTAGATGAATCTAGGCTATTCTCAGCTATTTCTTAAACATTAAAATCATTTAGGAGGAAAAGCTTTCCAATTGCTGTGTTTATCATGTGCATTAATATATCATGTACATCTAATACCTAATCATGATGGCTGGTAATAATAGATGCTCACTAAGAACTGAAAGAATGACTGACTAGATTAACTGTATTGTTCTTCCTTTAAGGTTAAAGACTATATCTAACACCAACCATGAAAGATCCAAGTCGCAGCAGTACTAGCCCAAGCATCATCAATGAAGATGTGATTATTAACGGTCATTCTCATGAAGATGACAATCCATTTGCAGAGTACATGTGGATGGAAAATGAAGAGGAATTCAACAGACAAGTTAGTTTTGTGTATAAACATGCTCTTTTATTGTAGCCTATGACAGCTGTCATATAATATAAATGTACTTTTCCCTGAAATGCATTTTTCACCTGGTCCCTTATATATGAAATACATGGATTTATGTGCTACCACTCCTATTTTAGTTGGATGCTGATACTACCAGGTTTAACTGCTCATTGAAATAACCTAAGGAGCTTTTTTCGGGGTCCCACCCAGAGATTCTGATTCAGAAGGATTTAGGGTGGAGCCTGGGAAACGTGTTTTTTAAAAGCTCCCAGGTGGTTCCAGTGAGCAATTAGGTTTGGAAACCACTACCTTACACCAGTCAGATTGTTCTACTGCAGTGAAAGTCAAGAGAGCTGGAATCAGGAGCAAATAGGCATAGGTACTGGGGTACAGATTGTACTGTTTTTCATGTAAGGTTCTCATTCTGATCAGCCTCAAAATCTGACACCACTGTTTTTTTTTAGAGAACTCTCATATATTGATAGATGTCTTTTATTCCCATATTTCTGGTACCTGTTTCTACCTTTCATCTAGTTTCTCTCTGATCCTGGCTTTGATAATTAGTAGCCAGCTTGATTTCACCATATCCAGTTATATATATTCAAGAGTAAAGCAATGTAGTCTTATTTCAGTGAGAATGTTTAGTTGCTGACCCTACCCTCCAAATAATTTTATTTATTTATTTATTTTAAATTTTGGCTGTGTTGGGTCTTCGTTGCTGCATGAGGGCTTTTTCTAGTTGCGGTGAGCGGGGGCTACTCTTTGTTGCGGTGCGCGGGCTTCTCGTTGAGGTGACTTCTCCTGTTGCGGAGCACGGGCTCTAGGTGTGCGGATGTCAGTAGGTGTGGTGCGAGGGCTCAGTAGTTGTGGCTCACATGCTCTAGAGTGCAGGCTTAATAGTTGTGGCACACAGGCTTAGTTGCTCCGTGGCACATGGGATCTTCCCGGACCAGGGCTCAAACCCATGTCCCCTGCATTGGCAGGTGGATTCTTAACCACTGTGCCACCAGGGAAGTCCTACCCAAAGATTTTTTTTTCCAGTCATTTTTGAGTGGGTTTAGGGTTTGTATAGTTTTAGAAGCATCACAGGTAATTCTGATACACATTCCTCCATGAGAACACTTCTTTGTTACTTCTTCCCCGCCACCCTCAGTGGAAAAAAAAGAATATTCTGCTGTGACAAGTAAAGACATAGCAAAACCCTAAACAGATCTTTCCAGGTCTTATGGAAAAGATTTTTTTCTCCTTAGCACAGAAGCAAAGGAGGAAGGTATGACATTATGTTTTTAAATGGTTTAGTTCAAGATTCTTTAAGACTTTTCTAGTGATTTCATCTTACCAAGTATGCTATAAATTACCCTTTATTTATTATAAATCCAGATAGAAGAGGAGTTATGGGAAGAAGAATTTATTGAACGCTGTTTCCAAGAAATGCTGGAAGAAGAAGAGGAACATGAGTGGTTTATTCCAGCTCGAGATCTCCCACAAACTATGGACCAAATCCAAGACCAATTTAATGACCTTGTTATCAGTGATGGCTCTTCCCTGGAAGATCTTGTGGTAAAGAGTTATTTTTTCATCTTTTTAAAACCTAGCTCATCTCTCCCATAAGTGGAAAAGCTAGCAACCATCTGTTTAAGAAGAGTTCTACATCTCTTCCCCTTCAGAAATTCTGCTGCTTCTTACTATGGAAGCAGAGGCCTCCTGGTCTTACTTGTGATAAGGAGTGACTTCTGGCAACACTCTGGAGGTAGCCTGAGACTACTAACAGACTTCTTGCCACTGCTTTTAGATAATGATAACTATGTTGCCCTAGGAAATGTCTTAAAGCATTAATTCAAAAGGGAGTACACAGGATGTTCATGTGACTTGCCTATGCAAAAGTAGCTTGATGGAGAGGTTTTGCTCTTTAATTGTCTTAAATATTTGGTGAAATTACAAATTTTTTCTGAAAGATAAAATTTGAGGTTTTTTTTCCTGACCCAGGATTTTCATTGAGTTACCCCTAACTCCATTTGGAACTATGATAAGGACTTTTACATGCTCTTGGCAGAAAAGGAACACAAATCTTTTTATATTTTTAGTTATTCTCAGTGTCTCATTGCTGATAGTTTATTTGTAGTGAAAAGTTTTTTCACGAATTTTGATAACTAAGCATCAGTACTAGAGTAAAACCTAATGATTCGTTTGCTAAAATTAAGATAAAATAATTTAAAGTCAGAATGTTAAATTTTCTTTCCATATGGACAGTCTGTCTAGTTGCTTCTACAAGATGGTTCTCTGGAATTTACCCCTAGACTCTGAAGTAATTTTTGCAGTTGTCTTCTGTTCACTGTGCAGTGATTTCCTAACCTGGCTGTACGTCATAATTACCTATGAAGCATTACAAAAATTTTCTCAGCAACATCCCAGACCTGCAGAATCAGTCATCTAGGCATGTTAATTTTTTAAAAGCACTCCCAGAGGATACCGCCAGCCCGCCCTATCAGGCATTTGGAAACCATTTTTCTAAAGGGCTGTATAGAGAACACTGAAATTTACTTGTGGTATAGCTTTTGTTGCAGTAAATGACACTAACCCAATTAAGCAGATACATGATCTGAATAGTCTGTTGGGATATGCTTGCTTATGGCTACACATTAGGCACTCCACAAATAATCCTGGTTGCTCTGCGGAGGGAAGCCCTTTGCTGGGCATAATGTATAACTTTAACTGGACCCAGCGTCTTTTCATTGTCTAGAAACTGGTTTGTTTGACTCAAGTCCATTTGAGGTTAATTCCTTCTCATTCTTTTGTAGCTGCCAAAAGATTGGACATTCAAGAACACTGCTTTTTAAATTTAAACCTCAGACTTTTAAAGTTTAGATATATTTCCCTTGAGAGAAGGGAATGGTTGTATATAAATTATGAAACTTAAATTATTGCTCCAACATGTTGTTTAATATGCTTTGGTCTTGAAGTAAGTGATATTGGGGGCTCAGATTCAATCTGAAATCCTGCCAACATGCCTACCATTTCAGGCCCTGGAATCGTCCTGGTTTCTTTTTTTCTTGATCAACTTGCATTCAGAGATGTGGTAGAGGAAAATTTCCAGCCATTCCCTATATGCTGACACATCTGCTTAGGAAAGTAAAGATTTAGAAATACAAAATAATGGTGGTACAAGTCTCTCACGCTCTTAGAGGCTTTGGCCCAGTCTTCCCCTAACTGATGCAAAAATGAAGTCCCAGAGAGTGACTTATCCAGGCCTATATAAGAAGTTAGTTAGCAGAGCTGGGATTCCAACTTAGGTCTTCTGACTCCCCATGCAGTTTTCTTTTCCTCTTATATACCATGCTACCTGTGGGAATTAGAATACAGCAGTTGTAAAAGACAACTCCATATTTTCAAGGAGCATCATAAAGTAAAATTAATCTGTAAATCATTCCCCAATCACTTTTATCATCATTTCAACACTTGTTTAGTATTTTTGCATATTATGAAACTGTTTAAATAGCAAGTCAAGTATCATAGTTAAACGAACAGAATTCCGTGTTCTGAGACACTCCTTTAGTTGATGTGAAGTTAGTGAGTTTCTGATTACACTTAAGCAAATTTAATTTCAATTTCTACTTTCTCTTTAGAAAGTTGATAAAATTTGGTATAATATACGTAGCTTACATCTGGTTCCTCCTTTCCCTGCTGTGGATTTTATTTTTTTTTTTACTTAAGTTTGACCTTACAATCTGAATTCTTGCCTTTGTCTTATATTTTTGGAAGATGTTTTTGCATGTGGATCTGGGTTGAATGCTTCTGAGTATCTGAAGCTTATCTGTTAATGAACTTGCTTTTTTATGTACTTATTTTCCAGGTCAAGAGCAATCTGAATCCAAATGCAAAGGAGTTTGTTCCTGGGGTGAAGTACTGAAATATTTGAGTAGACGGGGCCCTCTTTTGGTGGATGTAGCACAATTTCCACACTGTGAAGGCAGTATTAGAAGACTTAATTGTAAAAGCTCTCTCTTGTCACTGTGTTACACTTATGCATTGCCAAAGTTTTGTTAGTCTTGCATGCTTAATAAAAGTGCTGAGACTGTTATTAAGTAAAAAGCTGTCAAACATTTACTGAAAATAGAATTGGCCCCATGGCTTGATGTGAAGACAGTGAGGAAAGAAGCACCAGTCAAGTTGTGTCAAAGCACCAAATTAAATGACCTCTAAATCTTAGTGAATTGTCCTTTTTGAGACTAAACTGGTCCCTTAAGGTTAACTGATACTTGTTAATGTCTAAATTTTTTTAAATGAGTAAATTTAAGTTCTAGTAGTTAATTTCTCAGTTCAGACTTAAATTTGCATTTGTCCCCATCAGAAAGAATCTCCTTTTTCTGATGAAGGCTTGTTAGTTAATTTGAAATAATTTTTTATAAACAAGTATGTCTTAGGTTCACTACCTTAGTAACCAAAGTCCTGGCTTTTACGGTATGTTATCATGTAAGAAATATTGAATTCTCCTAATGTTACATCTGAGAAAGTATGTGATTTGAGAACTACATCCTCTTCTAAGGAGTCATTGCATCAAAGCTGTACCTGTGTAAAGTCTAACATTTGACCAACCCATAATCCAACTGAACAAAGAAATTGTAGCCTGTGATTTGAGTGGTGCTTCTCCTTGCTTTGTTAACTATCACTACAATAGTCTGCAGCACAACTTTTCTTTTAACAAAGCTAGAACAGTTTTGGCTTCTTAAACTTCTTATTTGGGTAGGTTAAGCTGCCATACGTGTTCAGTGTGAATAGTGTTTAAGTTGAAAATATTGTAAAAAAATTATATTTTTTCAAAAATATTTAAAAAAATAAATAATAGTAGAACTGAGCAGATGGTTGTGTTTATTGGTGCTGGAATACAGACTCTCCAGTGGTGATACTTCCTTCAGCGTGGGCTCAGTCCCTCAGGACAGCCCTGCTGGCAAGATTTGCTGAGGGAGCAGGCTTTATTATTATATTCCATAGTGTCGAGTATGTTGTTATATAAGTGTCTGTCCAAAATACAGCAGTAAAATAAATCCCATAGCCCCTTCCGTAGCCCACCTTGATCACCTCAGGCTGCAGTGTCAAGGCAATTAAATATATCCATGTTAAGAAACTTTCTGGCTGGCCAGCATAATGGTAACCTTACTGTAGTCTAACCTTCATTGAGTTTTGCCCTTCACAAACCATTGCTGTTCTGATTGGACTGGTTTGCTATTTTGATTCACCTGGACCTTCCCCTTTTTCACCCTCACAAGCTAATTAATAATAGGTTTGTGGCTAATATTTATTTGGGATAGGCTGTCAAACCAACTAGCAATTTCCTGGTTCCACATACAATTCTGCCCCACGGCCCTACTCAGTCGTTGATAATGTCCTCTGTGTTCTTCTTGAGCTTGGAGGGCTCAAGATTAAGAAGGCCATCTAGTCAGTTCTGGGTCACATTCTTCCTAGGGTCCTTTGGTGTGCGTACCTGTGCCTGGTGTTTTTTAATAGCTACCTTACTAAGCTAATAAACAGGTTCTTTTAAGATGCTGAAGCAGACGATCCTGCTTGGCTTTCATTCTTTTTGGAGCCATAATACCACCAGTCCCCTCTGTACTCTAACAGCTCAGTACCACAAGTGGCACAGCAGGCTGCCAAGTATGAGGGTTACAGATCACTTCTCTGAGCCTGGACGGGGGCAAATGAGTTCATTTCCACATACTGCCGAATTATCATCATGCAGTATAATTAGAGGTTATAAACTTGAATTAGAGAGGCATTGTAACCTAATGTTTAAGAGCAAAGACTAGCCTATCTCAGGATTGTGTGATTAGTTAATACACATCAAGTACTTAAGACAATCCCTGGTACATAGAAAGTTCTATTTAAGTGACTTATTACAATTAAGGAGTTATCTAAGCTAAGCTCTCACTTTGTTGGAACTTGTCTGAGGCAATGTGCACATTAAAACCACTTTGATTTTTTTTTAAGGGCTTGAAACACATTATTACCCCATCTGGGCCTATGTGGCATAGTTTTAGGGTAACTGAAGTCATTCTGTTTTGTAGGGGTTTTATCTTATTACAACTATTTAAACAAGGCACCTTATGTGAGAGGATTTTTCCTATTCTTATGCTATGTCAGTTACTTCTCAACCTTTTCTATGTCATAAAGTGTAATTTATCATACTGGAGTGTAAGGATGAGGCTGCCTGTAGCTAGAGTTTATGGCTCATGGGCTCCAGTTGACCCAGTATCAGCCCAGATAACCAAAGGCCAAAGGGATCAATACTTAGTATACTTGTAACCTCCTACAAGGTTACTGGCCCACACCTGTTGGGAAGTTCCACTGTCACTATAAAATGGCTAAGGAGTTCCACATATGTATATTGACTTTTTACCCAGTATGCCTTCTGATTGAAAATATTCAAATAGGTCACAGAAATGGAAACTGAGTACTTTGTTTTCTCTTTGGTTAAAGCATAAGAATGTTGTGATTTTTCAACCCTCCCACAAAAGCCATAGACTAACAGACATCCTACCTTTCCTGGGCGCAGTTTTTCAGATCTTGGTGCACACAGACCCAGTTTCTGTATTTTGTGGGGTATCTTCTGGAACTGGAAGCTGGTCTTTTGACCTTGAAGAAAATCCTTTGAAGACTGGGCAGATAGGAATGTATTTCAGAAAGGCAATTCTTTTTACCATGCTCATCCCGATGGGAAAGTCATAGCTCTTCAGGCTGGTAGACATCTCACTGTTGGCATGGGCCCCAGCTTTCCACTGTATCAGACCTCGTTCCTCTGGGCTTCCTGGAAGAGGACAGTGGGGTCACTTACCAGAGCCAGCAATCCTCTGCTACCTCCCCTTCCCATAACCTAGCCATAAGGTAGACTTCTGGAGTTGTCTTGATTCTCAATTCTCTGGTCCTGAAAAGTTGAATCTGTGATATCTCAGCTCTTAACTTGGCTAGAGCTCTAGGGAACCCTAAGGGATACTGGTTATACGTAATTAGTATTTATTGTGTATCTACAGTGTGCTATGGTCTGTGCTAAGTGCTTTTATTTCATTATCTAATTTCTTTGAAACATTGGTGGGAGGTGTATAGGCACTATTACACAAAATTTTATGATCAAGAAGGCAGGCAGACGGTTAAGTAATTGTCGGCCTACATCTCGAGTATGGGGCTGGTGTCTCCTGGGCCAGTGGGGACCAAATAATGCTCAGACTGCTGTGAGGGCAGGAAGTTATATTTTGAAACACTGTAATCAGTATTAATATTCAATATTACGATTCCATATTTGGAAAATAAACTCTCTTGTTTTTATAATACAAACTTCAGAAAGTCAAGCTAAGTAAAATCTTTGTTGGTGGTAGGGATACGCGAGAGAGATTTTTTACAACTAGGGGAAGTCTCCTTTAGGAGGTATGGGAGGGATGTGTGAATTCTCTGAGGTTTTCACAAGAGGGCTGGGGTTGACCGAAGACTGTGAGACAGTGTAAATCTAGTGCAAAGATTTCCACGCGTTGGCAGCCCAGACTGAAAAGCCCCATGAGTAGAGAAACCAAATGTGTCCCAAAGTCTCAAAGGAGAGGGCACTGAGGGAGGGCTGGCGTCCTTAGAGAAGACCACTTGGAGGAGGTACTGTTTGAGCTGGGCCTGACTGCACAAAGAGCACAGGTGGGCAGAGTGGAGGGAGAAGAGCTGCAGCTGTGGCACAGGACTGAGGTGACTGATGGCCCCACTCCTCACCACTGCTGGGACACAAGAGCCAGCCCGGCACTCCCTCGCCTCCCCTCCACATCCCTACCTGTGTTGCCTTCTCCAGTGCTTCTCCAAGTCCTAATCTTCTTGGCCCCACCCAGAATCATCCAGGAAGCCCTCCAGATGACTCCAGCCCAGGCTTATTCACCTCATTGCTCTAAATTGCTTTAAACCCAGTTTTACTTCCTATCTTGTTGACTTAATGTTTTTTACCCTTAAGTGTCTAACTCGGGGCCATGCTTGCTCCAGTAGCACTTGCTGAACTAAACTTACTGCCCCTCTAAGGTTGGTCTGTGGGTAGGTAAAGAGTAAGAGCAAATGCAAAGTGGTCTATCAGCAAAATGTACCCATCCTACAGAATAAAGCTCTGTAATTCCATTGTTGAGGACAAGGTTCTGAGCCAGCCAGACCTGGGCTTGAAACCAGGTTGTGTGACCTTAGGCAAGTGATTTAACCACTCTGAGCTTCAGATTCCTCATCATGCACATTGAAGGACTGTTGAAGATTATGTAGCATAATACATATATTGATCATTGGCAGAGATGGTTGCTGATGGGCAGCTGGGTTGAAGGATAGAGATGTGAGGAACTCAGGCACTCTGAGGCTGTTAACATCTGGGTAGCTTAATCCAGCTGCCCAAATCACAGACCCCTCTGTACAGCTGCCCACCCAGACGCCCTCTATCTCCGTGGATTCCCTAGGCATTGAGGTTGCCACTTCCCTGTCTCATGTCCTCAGGATGAGCTTCTCCAGGTCCCACCTCAGCTTCCTCTGGTGGGCGAGGGGGGTACCATGGTCAGGTATCACCCATCCATCCAAGTGATAGCTGCTACCAAAAGCTCCCTCATCTGATGCTATCTAAAATCCCTGAAAGTGCCAGGGAGTCCTGGCCCTTCCCTGCCCAAACTCTAACCCACCAGCTGTGCATAGCCAGCCGCTGATTCCTGTGCTCTGAATAGACACTTGTGTCTTCAGAGAGGGGAAAGCAAATGGGGTCAGCTATGTTTAGGCTGTTAAGTCGCAGAAGATGGAGAGCTATCATCCTCCATCTGTCATCTCTGTGGACTGATGCAATCTAGCCCCTGTCTCTACGGAGCTTTCCTTGATCTTACACTTCCCCTGAAACTCTCTAGCAGAGGCACTGTGGTGGAGTGGCTGGGACACAGGCCTTGGACTAACTGCATCAGATGGACTTGTTTAAATCCCAAATTTGCAGCGTTTTAAATCAGCAAGTTTTGTGACCTTCGGTGAGTCACCTAACCTCTGATTCTTTTTTCTCATATAAAATGGTGTTGATAGTCTCTGCCTCACAGGATAGTTTTTGAGGATGAAAGGAGACATTTAGCTCCATGCCTGACCCATAAATGTTTGGTAAATGCTAACTATTCTTATTAATAGTTAGAGCACCTGGTGACATTTAGTTTTTATATATTTCCTGGGCACATAAACATGGGTCAGGAGGATTCTCAGGGACCCCACAAAGTATCCTCCATGATCCCTGTAAAAAGCCCTGATACCAAAGAGAAACGTTAGGGGCTCTTCTAGTAGCCAGCATAAGTCACTGGCATATTTGGAGTGAATTTTGCCAACATACTGATGCTACATTTCCATCTGTCCTACTCTAAGAAAGCAAAAGCAACCCTCAACCCAGTGGCAACAAAGAAATGGAAAAGAAACAATTTACAGGGCCCAGGAATGACTCTCCTAGCCACACCCTCTTCAAGACTAAGAGGGAAGCCTGTGCCTCTATCAGGCTGGTGGTCTCTCCCTCCGGCCCATCTGTTCCTGCTTCTCCCTGCAGGGCCTGAGGCATTGCATCTGACCTGGCCACAGCTTCAGCTCAGGAGACATCTGCTGGACTGCCTGAGTCCAACCTGGTTCTCTGTTCCCCTTTTCAGGGCTGACCCATACCTGGCACTGTGTTGTCCAGTATGAAAGCGAGGCACCCACCCACAAACATCTCCGTAGTCAGCAGCACAGTCAGAATCTGGTCCACTTCAGGAATGCCTGTGGAATAGGCCAAAGGCTAATGGGTGTCACGGCCCCATCTGGAGAACGGAGCTCAGAGACTTTCTCCCCACTGGTGCAGCCTGCTGACTTCCTTGAGCAAGCACAGAGATGGAAAGTACAAAACCTTGACTTTCAAGATTATACACCTCTGCCTCCCATCCTTGGATTCAAATCCCAGTTTTGCTGGTTGCTACTTGTCTTGCAACAAATCATTTAACCCATCTGAACCTCACTTTTCTCACCTGTAACATGAAGATGGTAATAGTATCTATCTCATGGAGCTGTTGTGAAAATTAAATGAGCATATGTAAAGCTCATACCTGTCCACAGAAAGTGTCTTAGTAAAGAAGAGCTGTTAATTAGCCTCAGCTGCTAACATCCAGAGACAGGCAGGATTTGTGGCTCTGGCTGTGTGGAGCCTTTGAGGGAAGAGGCTGTGCTCAGAGTTGAGCCCACCACACCTCCCCCACCCTGAGACAGGTAAGACAGGTGGAGGCACCTGTGTTGATGGCATCTGGGTTGGAGTCCAGGTAATTGGGCAGCGTGAGCCCAAAGAACATGGAAAATCCAAGCACGAAGAGGTTGCGGGAGGAGTTCATGTCCACGAACTGCAGGTTAGACAGCCCCACAGCTGTAATCATGCCTGAGAGCACAAAAGAACCGCTGGAGGCTCCTCGCGGGCCGGGTAGGCTCCACCACACGGCGACCACACCCCAAAAGCACGCACAACACTCACCAAAAAGGGTGCAGAACATCCCCCCTAGGATGGGGTCAGGGAGCGAGGCGAAGAGGGCTGTGAATTTGCCAATGGTGCCCAGGACCAGCATGATACCCGCACCATACTGCACCACGCGCCGGCTACCCACCTGCCAGTGAGCCAAGGGGTGGGGCTAGACCCAGGGGGTGAAGTTGTGTGGGGTTAGTTGTGGGAGGGGAGGGGCGCGGTGGGTGGGCGGGGCCTGTTATAAGAGCAAGGTACATATGGGTCAGAGCATGATGCAAGGGAGGCCTGTCAAAGGCAGGGTGGGGCTAGGCCAAAGTAGGGACAGGTTTGGGGCGGGGCCTGCGGCACATGGAATTGGGGCGCGGCTTTGTGCTGCTCTGGCTAGTTGCGGCACCTTGGTAATCCCCAGGACACCAATGTTGGGGCTGGATGAGGTGGACCCGTTGCCCGTGCCCAGCAGCCCTGCGATAATGCAACAGATGCCTTCGGTGAAGATACCCCTGTAAGAAAAGGGCAAGTGGGGGCCTTGGTCCATGCTCTAGCCTGGTTTGTGTCCTCCCATTGCCCTGGCCAGCCTGGCCAGAGTCTCTAGGGCTGTGTGAGCTGCAACTATCTGTCTGTAGTACTCCCCACTCCGGGCCAGAGGTGGGTCTGGGAGCCAGGAGCCCAGGTCTGAATGCTAGTCCCACTGCCCTGGCAATTAATCCTTAGGTGATTCTGGGCTTCAATTTCCTCATCTGTCAGATGGGGATATTAAGAGTACCTGTCTTACAGAGCCATTAGTGGATTGCATAAGAGAACGCACATCAAGAGCTAGACACATGGGGACTTCCCTGGTAGTCCAGCAGAGAAGACTCCGTACTCCCAATGCAGGGGGCCCCAGTTCCATCCCTGGTCAGAGAACTAGATCTCACATGCTTCAACTAAGAGCCCGCATGCCGCAACTAAAAAGATCCCATGCGCTGCAACTAAGAGCTGGTGCAGCCAAATAAATAAAGAGAGAAAGAAAGAGCTAGACACATGGAAGGCTGTCAGTGACTGTAGTTTCCCTTAGACTTCGTTGTCTCCTCAGCTGTTCGCAACACAGAGTGAGTGATGAGAGCATCTCCATTTCATAAGTAAGGAGAACCTGGAGAGTTAGTGACTTGCCCAACTCCTTGTCCCCCACCTCTGGGATTCAATTCTGTCCGGACGTTTGCTTCCTGAGTGACCCTTGAGGGGATGAGATACCGGGGAGGGCAGGTCGGCATACCTGTTGATAGCGTGCACTGGAGGGGGTGGTGCGCCAGCCAGGCGGGCACAAGCATAGTAATCTCCGATGGACTCAATGATGCCCGCTAATGTGGCACTAAACATTCCCAGCACAGCAGCCGCAGTCACTGTGGGAAGCCCCCACTGACCTGTATCAACAGGGAGATGGGAGGTTGGATGCAATGAGTGTTCCTAGGTGGGTCAGGGAGTGGACTAGGCAGTACTTGGGTGGAGCAGGGGAAGGGGTAAAGAGATCTCAAGCTGGGGTGGGAGCTATACAGTTGTGGGAGCTTATTTGGGGTCACTTAGAGTCATAAAGCTGGAGTGAGACGTTGAGTACACCACCACTCTGCCTGGCACACTATAAATGTGCAGCTAATACTTGTTATGTCATCAGCTGGACTCGGGTCACCAGGGGCCTCACTGATGGTCTCAGTTGGAGGCAGAGGGGCCCAGATGGAGTTGCTCACAGGGGTAGGGGATGCGGATCCAGGGAGCAATAGCCACGATGTCCCCTCGGGCATCTGTTCGTGCCTGGAAGCCATAGGCTGTGGGGTCTGAGGGCAGCACGTCCGTCAGGGTCAGTATATAGCAGAGCAGCCACACGGTCATGATGGCTAGCACGATCTGAAGTGGGGGTGGGGGGTAAGGGTTGCACTGAGGGCCCAGGAGGTCTTGGTCCAGGCTAACCAGCTCCTACCTTAGCCCTAGCCCCAGCCCGAGCCTGTGCCCCAGCCCCAGCTCAGACCCCGGCCCCCATCCCTGGCTAGGACCTCAACTCTGCCTCTAGCTCCCCTGCTGCCCCTGCCCTTTCCCCTGCCCTTGGCCCTGGACATAGGTCCAGCCCCTGCCCTAGTCCCACCCCGAACCGCCTGTCAGCTCCTCACGGGAAACATCTTGAAGATCTGGATGCGGAAGAGAGTGAGGCCCTTTCCCCGGCGGTAGACAGGCAGCAAGAAGGTGAGATTTCGCAGGTACTGGGAGAAGAGGACAATCAGGAGAATGGAGCTGGGGACAGAAGCACAAAGAGAAAACGGCTGGTAGGCCGGGCTGGGGGCAAGAGCCAAGGCTAAGGGGGCAGGACACGAAGGGGTTGAGGGACTGGGGCTGGGCAAGGATCAGGCCTGGTGCCCACTCACCAAGCTGAGATACCCCAGTGGGAGCCAGCTCGGTCACCAGCAGCTTGGAAGACAGAGAGACCAATGAGGGAGACAGTGGGGGTGACTGTAAGAGGCCCGATGTAACTGAGCAGGGCCCCAGGCAGCCCCATCAGCCCAATCACCACCTCCACCATACTGGACACCATGATTGCACCCTGGACCTGGAAAAGCAAAGATCAGCTATAAGTCACCATGTAGAAGCCATGACCTCTAAGTTAAAAAAATGTTCCTGGACCACATCCTCATATCCCCCAATTCAGCAGTGGCCTTCCCTCCCATCTAGTCCCACCCTCAAGTCCAGGTCTCTTCTACCCCACATGCAAACCCACCTCTCGTATCCGTGGGTGCCAAATATGAGAGGTATTCAGGGGCAGGCTCCAGTTACCATAGATCTCCTCTGGGGGCATAGACAGGAACACACACACACGTGCACGGGGAACAGAGAGAGAAAGTAAAGATGCTGCCCTGAAGGCACCTTGGGGTATGGACATGGAACAGTCGCCCAGACCTCCGGGCTCCTGGGGCTCCCCTCTCCAGTGCAGCCCCCAGAAATGTGCCCACCTTCTGGAGGACATTTCCATCTCTCCAGGGCCAGGATGGCTTTGGCTGGGACCAGAAATGCAAAGGCGCTGGCCTGGAACAGTGGCAGCCTGGAAAGAGAGGCACAGAGCAGCAGGGACAGGGTGGGAGGTGGGGAGGCAGGAACACAGAGACAGAGGAGATGGGGAGGGAGGGGCACAGAGTGAGGCACAGGGAGAATCACACACAGGGACAGAGACACAGAGGAACAAGGGCAAGGGCAGAACAGAGGGAAGTCACTGAGGCCCCAGGCAGGACTCTAACATTTTGGGGGCCTAAGAAAGAAAACAGATGGAGCCCCTGGCTCACAACCTGCTCCCTTTCCTTCTCAGCACCAGCTCCTGCACTGTGAGGGGCCACGTGCACGGAAGTGGACAGCTCAGCTCCTGCATGCAAGCTCCACTCACAACCTTCCTTCATCTTCCCACCATACAAATGACCATCCTTAGGCCACCCAGGCCTAGGACTGTGCACGCAGGGGCAGGGGGCCCCCAGGAGGACGGACCACTGAAGAGGCCCACACAAGCCCTGGCAGCAGGGGAGTGAGTGGTCCCAATTACCCAGAGTAAGGCTTAATGGAGGAGAGCCCAGCTAGGGCACGTTCCCCTTCCTTGAGGGACACCAGGGGTCCAGGGTGGGACCCCAGCTGCCTAGCTCTAAGGCTAGCCTGGAACCAAAAGCAGCAGGTGGGGGCAGATAGCAGTTTTTCTTGTCCCACAAGAGTCCTTTGAGACGGCTCCTGCTGTGTGGATCACTGCGTGTGTGTCTACGTGGGGTGGGGTAGGGGTGGGAGTGGGGCAGCTCACCGGATGCCCAGTGTGGTCTGGATGAGGGTGGTGATGCCCACACAGGTGAAGATGGTACCAATGAGCTGGCTGACCATGTACTGGTCACGGCCCACACACAGCGCCTCAGCCAGGAGGAAGGGCACAGCGATGGTGCCACTGAAGCAGGTCAGGTAATGCTAGGGGTGTGGGGAGAGCGCATGAGGCAGGGCCCACGGAGCTCACAGGGAGGCAGGGGAACCCTCACAGTCCTCACGCCTGCCTCAGTGGGCCTGAGCCCGTGCCGCCCCAGCCAGTGTGCCCACCCAGGACTGATACTCCCATAAGGCATTCCCACAGAGCGACTGCTCACCTCTCTGGGGGTTACTAATCTGCCCCCAAGTTATTCCTGCAGCTTCTGTGGAGTGGGCCCCTTTTCCTGTCACCGGCACTCCGCCTGGCAGGTGATACCTCGTCCCTTTCAGGCCCCATCAAGCCTCTTCCCCACCCCTGCTTGGTGACAGTCACTGCTTCTGACTTTAGGTTTCTCTTCCTGTTACCCAGGATGACCTCTTTGGCCAGGGAGGGGGCTGGGGAGCAGGCAGGGCGGGGGTGGGAAGGCCCTGGGGAGATGCCCACCTGGAAGCCCAGCAGGACGCACAGGTACCAGGGCGGCACATCCTCGATCTTGTACAACATGTCAGACTTGGGCTCTGTGCACAGGGCCGTCGGGGGGTCCTTCGTGGAGGTCCCTGCTGAGCCCAGGGACTCATGCTGGGGGCAGCAGAGAGAAGTAACTCAGCGTGGAGTGATGGGAACCAGAAAAGTCCATTCTGCTTCAGAATCAATTAGGTAGCCCAAGTGGCCTGTCAGCTCCTCAGAATGGGGTCCCCACCCTTCCTCAATGCTCATGCACCCAGCTACCCCTTGGCCTGGCTACACGTGGCTCCCACCTCACATTGCTTTGTGCAGGGATGAGTCCACTGTACTGGCTCCTGGAGCCCTCAGAACCTGGGCCTTCTTTCCAAGAGAACGGGCCCATACATCAGAAGGCCGGGGTCACCAGGAGAGGAGGCAAAGAGGGCTGGAGACTGTGACAGGCCCTCTTGGACGTACTCTGGTCCCCCCTCTATCCCTTAGAGGTCCTTGGGGTGTCACTAATGGGGCGGTAGGCTGGGCCCCTGCCGGCCCCCAAGCTGGGGTGAGCCAGTCCCAGAGCAGAAGTCTCCTTCACCCCACTGCCACCCCACCCTTCCCCCAACTGCCACATTCCGCCTGGGACAGTCACTCTCGATCCAGTTCATCAGAACCTTTGTCTCTGCCCTCCCAGGGAGCAAGGACTGCTCAGGCCCCCAGCCCCACCCTGCCCCCACCCGCTCCCCTCATTCCCCAGCACCTGTGTCTGGCCCTCAGGGTCCTCCTGGGCCCTCATCTTTGGGGCACAGGTGTGAGCAGTTCCTGAGGAGAAGAAGGGATTGCTTATACGAAGGCCAAGGAGGACTTTAATCCGCATAGCCGACATTGTTCAAAGTAAATCTGTAACCAGATCTCCAACACTGATTGCGAAAGGAGGGCCCAGGCCCAGGTAACGTATTAACTCCGGCCACGGTGGAAAAGGCCGCCCAAGCCTCTGCCACATTTACCTCCCGAGCACACCCTTCCTTGCCCGCACCTGAGCCTGGGCACGGGACAGGTATTTTCCGAGAGAGGGCCGGAGAGGGGGTGAGGAGCAGATGGCCTTGGAAGTTTACCAGGCCCTGGGTGAGGTGAGAGGAAAGGAGTGAAAATGGGCACATATTATGGTACACTCTGAATGAGGCTTTTCCCTGCTTATTAATCAAAAGTTAATCATTATCATCATCATAACCCATCTCGTTATTTAGGAACAACTGCGTGCCAAGCAACATCTACGTATTGTCATGTTTAACCCCAGGTGCTAGGTGCCATTAACCTCTTTTACAGCTGAGGAAACAGATTTAGGAGATGTGATCTGACCAAGGCCACACAGGTAGCAAGGTTTTAGAAAGCCATTCCAAAAATTCAGGTTGGCCTGAACTACTGAGCCCACGCTGTTAATTATACATAAAATGTCAGACAGGGCTGCCCTCCCCACCACCTCCACTCGCCCCTCAGGGTCCCTGAGGCGCAGAACAGATGGGCCTCCGGAGAAGGAGCTGCCGAGGCTAGCCCGGTCTTTTCTGTCCTCTGTGTCAGGACAAGGATTCCTTCCCTTCCCCTCCCAGTCAGGACCAGCTACATAATCTGTGGGACCCAGTGCAAAATGAAAATCTGGTGCCCCTGTTGCAAAAGTATTATAAATTTAAAAACAGCAACAGCAGAGCATTAAACTGATTTGTGGGGCCTTTCTAAGCACCGGGCCCTGCGTGACTGCCACGCAGCCGCTGAAGCCGGCCTGGGCCCGGCCTATCTTCCCCTCCTGGGGGCTGGGGAGAGCCCAGGGGCTGAGGGCCCTGATTCTGCTCCCTTCTGCGCTGCCCCAACCCCATTAGGGTCCACCTACTTCTGGGTCGCTGTGCCCATGGCCAGGCCCTGCCCCAAGGCCTCCCCCGCAGCACCACTGTCCAGCTGGGTAGCAGCTTCATGTCACAGCCCCGAATCTGAATCCGACGGCCTGTCCAGCCTCCAGCCCGTTCCTCTGTCCACCTGTCCTCTCCTCTCAAATCCTGGCTCCTGTTCCCAGGTTCCCAAAGTCATCTGACCAGTTCGAAGCCTCTATTCCTCGGCACTCTCCTCCCCACCCTCTCCTCCCCGGTACTTCCCAGGGCCTGGGGAGACAGCCCTACCCCTTCCACACATTGTCCGTTGGACCCTCAAATCAACCCAAACCACATACCACACACATGGAGACAAAGCCGGGAAGTTGCACATGGTCTCAGATACACAATCACACAAATGGACCTGGAGCACCTAGACTCTGACGCAAAGTGTCTCTAAATCACTCCACAAAAACACAGGGCCACGCAGGTGCACATCATGGGCTCCCGGCTCCACACCTGATACTACTGACTGCTCAGCCAATTCCTTGGGCCCTGGCTCTCCTGGTGCTTAAGAGTTCTCTCCTGAGGGCCAGGAGGAGGGGCCTCAGGCAGATGGGGAACAGGTGATGGAACGTAGGGGGCTGGGGTGCAGAGTGGTAAGGGCCTGCCTGGGACACCACCATTCCTTCAGCCCTAACCTTCCCCCACTCCCCAAATTTGAATCCCCTCCCAGCCCTGCCACTGCTCAGCCTGGGACTCTGCCTGAGCCTCTTTTGTTGTCTGAGCCCCAGTTTCTGCACCTGTCAACAGGGGATTAGAGTGTCTGTTCTGTCCACTTTCCAGGGCTTTGGAGGATCAGAGACACAAATGAATCTGTAAGCTGTAGCACCACTGACCCCAGATACCCAGACCCAGGTGTGAACCAGGTGGAGCTCTTTTCTCTGTTTCTAAGAAAAGGGGCCCAGGTGAGAATTTCTGGGGAGAGCAGGACGTACAGCCAAGATACTGAATCCAGCCTGTTCCAGGACCCCTGCCCTGCCCTGCCCTGTCCCAGGTGAGCACCGAGGGCTCAACCATGCTAGCTGGGGTCAGAGCAGAGTCTAGAAAGTGAGCAGCTGCTGGATGTAGACCCAGGAAGACTAGTGTTCTGGGAGGGGCACAGTAGCACGCAGTGGTTGCAGTGGGTATGTCCACAGGCAGCCTGCTTATGGAGTTTGCCTTGGCTTTTCTTTTCTCTCCTGAGGGATCTGGGGTTTCAACCGTTCAGATAACTGGTTCCATATGCCTTTGACAGCTCACTCACATTTCCAGCCATGACAGATCTCACTTACCTCTGGGAAATTGTGGGGGATGTGTACCTGGCCCTCTCTAGGAGGGACGTCAGCAGAAACACCAATGTCTATCCTCCCAGCCCCCCAAGCACCTTTTGCAGAGAGAAGGAATCGAGGTCACTGGTTTTATTTGAGTCCAGAGGGGAAGGCCTTGGCCGCCCCCCCGGGCCCCAGGGCCCAGAAGCTGGAGGAGGGAGGGAGAGTGGCAGCACAGAAGAACAAGGCCTCCCCGCCCTCCAGGCAGCCTGCAGAAAGGAGGGGACAGATCCAGAGGAAGCCCAGCTCCCTTTAGGGGCTGACCAGGAAGGGGAAGGAGGAGCTGGACTAGAGCTCTGCCCTTGTGACTGGTGCCTCCTCTGAGCAGGCCCCCCGGTGGCCTCCACACAGCAATGCCTCCAGGGCCCCTTGACCTTGTTGGTGGGCTTCATAGATCTGGTCTTCTCCAAACTCCCCCAGGTAGTGAAAGCATGTCTTGGAGAGCCTAGGGGAGCCCAGGAGGAGCCTCAGACTCTGCCCGGCCCGCAGTGGGGCAGACCAAGGCTCCATCCCACCCCAGTCCTCCAGTCACGACCTCGTGGGCCACGGCGCCCCCATGATGATCACACTGATGGTCGGCTCCGGCCCCTTCCTAAGTCCTGGGCCCATGAGACGCTTCACCTGGTCCACTTCTCCAACTCCGTAGCTGGAGGCAGTGGGAGGAGAGGGAGACAGCATTAGTGGAGCCCATCAGCACATGAAGCTGGGCACACTGGGCATCTGCCGAGTTTCGTGCCCAGATTCTGAGCCTCCTTGCTGAAAAACTAAGAACCAGAAAGGGGAAACTCCAGGCCCAAAGTCACACAGCAACCTTGTCTCCTGGCCACCTTACTCTTCTACTTGCTCCCAGCTCCAGAGCTCAGACTCTGTCCCAGCCAGTCCCCACCCTTGGGTCAGAGCCCTATTGGAGTGTGTGTGGTGTGTGAGTGGGAGAATGAGAAGCCCCACTCATCAGCCTGCCCCTGGAGGAGGGGGGCAGGGGCCAGATTTTCAACTCACCCCTGCCAGGTCTGGGAGCAGCTCTGGTCCAGGACGTCTGTGTATACCGACTCTCTCAGCTTGCCACGGCCCCCGGAGTCCAGGGTGTGAAGCTTGGCCTCTGCCTTTGTCAGATGCTGCCACATCTGGAACAAGGAGGGGTTGAGAACCAGGGCTTCAGAACTGCTCAGCATGAAAGGAGGGGTGATTGGGCTGGGGGCGGGGACAGAAGCCTGTGTCTCTGAGGAAGAACGAGGCAATGGAGCCTTTTGAACAGGAAACACCTGTGAGGCAGGCTTCATGGCCCTCCCCCAGGTCCAGAAAGCTGGGACCACACCAGCTGAGGCAAGATCCGCTGCCTTGGGATGGGAGGTGGGTGGGAAACACTGAGGTGGAGAATTAGGCCTGGGCATTGGGGCCCCTCCCCCAGGTAACACCTGCCCATCAGCACACACTATTTGAAACCACAAGAACAAGGAAAGAAAAAAAACCTCCCAGTCTTCAGTGACACGTGTACTCATAGCCCCCATGTGCGTGCGCGTGCACACAGTCACACAGACACACACAAGTACTCAGGCACGCGTGACAGGTTTGTATGTGAACTCAAGACACACACATGCTCATGGACTCATGGGACTGACAAACATGCACACGTGTACACATACACCAATGCTCCCCAGTCATGCTTTGGGAAGGAGTCCAGACTTAAGGGTGGTTCTAGAAAGGGAGGAGTCCGAGAGGACAAGCTAGTGACTCCCTGGTGTCCCAGAGATTGCCTGCTCTTTGTTGGGCAAACAGATAGGTAAACTGAGGCAGGCCGGTGCCGGTGAGGTGAAGATGGCAATATCATGGAAGGCTGAGTCTAGCTCGATGCCTTGGGGGGGGGGGGGGGGTTTGGGGATCCAAGGCCAGCGGTGGAATCTGAGGTAGGTGGAGGGGTCTGGCTTGGGTGGGGGCCTGGGTAGGGGCAGGAGAACTGCTCGCGGGGCGGCGAGGGGGTGGGGGGCTCACCTCGTAGGCCACTGCCCTGCAGGCGTCACAGCGCAGGTGAGCAGGCATGTGTGCTGAGAACTTCTCTTCATCATCCAGCTCAGGGGCGGTGGCTGTGAGCGGGGCCCTGTCCCCAAGGCCCCCTGGGATGGTCCAGGACCCCAGCAGCAGCAGCAACAGCGGCGACAGCCTCATGGTCTGTGGAGCTGGCTCAGCAAGCAGGGACTGTGGTTGGGGTGCAGGGGTGCAGGTGTGTACGCGCAGTGGGGGTTGCTGCAGAGAGCCTGCCCCAGACCAATGGGAAACCGACACCTCACCCTCCCGTTCTCTCCCTTCCCCCAGGGCCCTGCAGACACCGCTTGCGCACCTCCTCTCGTGGGACCCCGTGGTTCCAGCCAATGAGGCAAGGAGAGGGGCTGGGCCTGGGCGAGGACACATGGGGGCTGATACCTCTCATGTCCTGGGACCTGAGCACATGGCAGGCACTACGCTGAGCCCCTCAGGGAAGGAGGTGGCTTGTTACTGTCATCTTAAATCTACCCCTGAGGACACAAAGGTTCAGAGAAAAGTGACAAATCCAAGGCCACACAGCTAGAAGGGCTATGCTGAGATTGGAACCAAGCCTGGTTGACCCCAAGGTGCACTGGCCACTGAGCCACCAGGAGGAATGAGGCCACAGGCGTGGTTGCCAGCCAAGGCTCCCTCCCTGAGAGGCAAGTTCGCTGAGGCAGGGATGCCACAGTGTATGAAAGACACACATGGTCCCCTCCCCCAGGCCACACCCAGGCATGGAAGGGCACTCTGGGGTGCTAAGGGACCGCAGCAGGAAATCAGACACCTTACACCAGTTGTTCCAGCCATCGTGGCCATGGGGTCAGCAATTTATTGCACACCACGATGCGGTGAGGGGGAGTGGCCCAGGGCCCTCATTGCCATCAGGACCAGCATCTCCAGCCACAGAAAGATGTCCAGGTTATTCTGACTCATAGTTCTCTCAGTCAGCTTCCAGTTCAAGGCAAGGGGGCAGTGACTCCAAGGGATCCAGGCCCCCCGGAGGCCTGGAACTTAAGGAAGGCATTGATCTCCATCCCTGACACTGCTTCTAATGGTAACTGTTCTTCCCCAAACTCATCACATCACATACCAGTCCCACAAGGCCCAGCCACTTCACTCAGAACTCTACACAGACCCCCACGCAGAGCACCTCCCACACCATGCATCTCCCTCTGCTCTCCTCAGAAGCTCCTGGAATCTCAAGGCAATTGGAACACAGGCCCTGGGTCCCGTCCCTTCCTATGCTGTGATGAACCTGAAGAGCCAGCCCCTCCCTAGGCATGTTTGCCACACCTGTTACCAGGGCAGTGGAACCAGATGAGGGCTCCTCACAGGGGCACCCCTTCTTTTGCCAGCCCTAACCCACCCTCCACCCCACCCAGAGAGATCAAGAGTCTCCTCTGGGACAACAGCTCAACCATCCTCCGTGCTTTTAAGTCTTTCCTGACGACACAGTCATCTGTCCCCCACCCTTGGTGGGAATGGCTGGAACCTCCACTCCTAACCCCAGGACCAGCCAGTTCAGCTCTGAGGGCTTAGACAAGGCAAGTCAGAGGCTGGGGTTGAGGGGACAATGAGGGGCGGTACTCCCAGCTGGAGACTACAGTCACCTCCCCACCTTCCCCATAGCACCCCCACACCAAGTCCCAGGATGACCCTCCATGGCCCCTTCCGTATTACTTCCCTCTCCACCTCCACCACCTGTCCCCGCAGTTCTCTCTCTCAGATGAGACTCACCTAGGGCCTGCACTAGCCACTCTCCCCCGCAGCCTCCCAGGCCGAGGCTCAGATCCTCTTGCAAAGAATAACAGATTTGATAGCCAGTGTCTTTCTCTCCTCATCCAATCAGTGCTCACTAGCCTGCTCCACCTCTGCTGGGCCCACCTTCAGGGAGACACAGACAGCTCACTACCTCTGGGGGCAGCCCTGTACCCTGCAGTTCCCATTTCCTGCTGCCCCCGAGGAACCCCGTCACCCCCTCAGGTTGGCATCTGGGGCCATGTCCTGGGATTTCTCACGCTACCAACTAAAAATTGTCACTTGCCAGCTGCCTCTACAAGGATGAAATCACTAGCCAGTGCAATCGCTGACCTTCAATACACCCTGAAAGGAGTTCTGGGCAGAGATCAGGAATGAGGCCCTCTGTGCTCTGGGCAGAGATCAGGAATGAGGCCCACTGGCAGAAAAGGCCTTTAGATAATCAGATATTTTCAGGAGAAGATTTTATGAGCCCAATTTCTTGCATCTTCTCATAACTAGAAAAGCACTAAAATCATTAATGGACATCTGCTCCTTGTGACTAGCAGCAACCTTCTGCCAAAATGTGTGCTCGATTGCCTGTATCCTCCTTCACCAAACCCACATCTATACTGACTTCCCTCACTTACCTCTTCAGAGCAGTTCCTCAGTGCTGAGAGGCTGTCTCCCAGGCTTATAGTTTTCATTTTGCCCCAAATAAAACCTAACTCACAACTCTCACGTTCTGCATTTTTTTCATCCCACAACACACACACACACAGCCCCCCAACACACCACACTCTGGGAATGCTTGGGAAAGGGGTATACGATTCTGTCGGGAGAGGAAACAGGCAGCCATTTCCTGAGCTCCAGCTCCATCAGCGCTGGGGGTCTCAGATAAGCACTCTGAAGGTAACTTCTGGTCTGAAGACTGCATGAGATGGGTAAAAGAAAGAGGTGATAGAAGGAAAAGAGGGCACAGGACTGGATGCCAGAACTTCCAAGGCCATTAACGGGCCCCAACACCATGGGGATCAGGCCCTGGGGCCTCACACGGGGAACAAGGAGCCCTTGCTCGGCTGGGCGGGACCCAAGCTGGAGGGTGGAGCACAGAGGAGCAGAGGAGGCGCGGGGCTGGGGGTCCCGCTCACTGGCAGGTAGTACATCCCGTCCAGGGGCCCCGCCTCGGAGGCCCAGGGTAGCTGGGGGCCGCTGAAGGCCGGCGGGCCCGGGGATGGTGGCAGTGAGAGGCCAGGGATAGGCCCATAGGCCGGCGGGTAGAGGCCGGGGCCCAGGGCCAGCGGGGTGTAGACGCGGCGGGGTGGCACCGAGGGCGAGGGTGGCAGCAGCACCTCCACGTACTGCCCGCTCTCGGGGTCGAAGAGCAGCCGCAGCCGAGGCTGCCTCGGCGCCTCCACAAAGTAGTAGCGGCCGCTCTCTGGGTCCACCAGGACCTTCCCCGGGTGCGCGGCCCCGGGCGGCCTGCGCGCCCCCTGGGAGGGGCCTTCCGGGGACCGGTCCATGGGAGGCGCCGAGGCGGCGCGGGCCTGGGGCGGGGCCGCTCTGCCAGCGGACGCTTGGGGCTCCCGCGGGAGGGGCGACTGGACCGCAACCGCGGGCTCAGGGGCCATAGGTGGCGTCTCCTGTTTCGATGCTATTCCAGGGCTCGAGCTAGGGTACGCCTGCGGGGAGCTAGGGCGGGGCGGTCTGGGAGGTTGGGTCCCTGCCGGCCCTATCGGCGACTTCTGGGGTGAGGTGCGAGCGCCGCCTAGAGGGCTGGTACGACCCTTGTCGTCGGGGACCAGGCGCTGGGGCTCTGCATCCCTGTTCTTTCCGCCAGGACCGCGCACCACGACTCCCTGGGTTCCCTCCGGCCGGCGGCCTAAGGCCAAGGCACCAGGCAGGCGGATCTCAGTGCGCGCGAAGGGTTTCGCCGTGCTGTTCTCTGCCCTCCGCCGCAGTACCCCGTTGGGCTGCGTAACGTCCCGGGGGACTGTGTCTGTGGTTGGCTCTGGGGTCTCGTAGGGGTGTGACACGACCGGCAGAAAGTCCTTGAGAAAAACGGAAGTGTAGTGAGCTGGGGCGTGGGCCCCCAGCGCCTGAAGCTCTTGTGTCTTGGATGCGCCGCCTTCCTCCCCGCGGGGTTCCGCAGGAGGCACAGGGAGCCCTGAGCCTGGGGTGCTTGCCGGGAAGCTTGGCGCGTATGTGGTCTTCACCATCTTGCGCACGTCGCGGGGCCGCGGAATGGCCACGCGCGGGCGTCCCGAGGCCGCTTCTCCAGAGCCCAAGGCTTCCGGGCGCGCATCGGCATCCAGGGTGCCCACGAGGCGACTGAGGGGCAGCTGGGGTGCAGCCACCGCTGGCGACAGCTGGCTGCCTGGGAAGGCAAGATCCGGCATCTCCCGCGTGGACGGACTCTGCGCCTCTGTTAGCTCTGGAGTCCCGGGTGCAGATGGCGTGGGTGGCACCAGTTCCTCCTGGGCTACGCCATTCATAGCTTCCCGCGTAGAAACTACCGCTGAGCTCTGCACTGTGGAGTCCCACGTCTCTTGGGGCAATGGGCTCCACGTCCCAGTAGGACGATCTGGAGTCTCCCATGAGGACAAGTTTGGCGGGGACGGGCTCCTACTCCCCTCAACTATATCCCCACCTGCTGGATGCGGAACCTCCCACGAGGAAGGAGCTTCGGGGGATGGGCTTCTTGCACTGGCAACACCCCGATTCCACTGGGAAAGGGTCGGAGGGGAAGGGCTCTTCCTGCTGACAGTTTCCGTGACAGCAGCATCCTGATTTCCCCATGCGGAGGATGCCTCGGGGAGCGACGGGCCACTCACCTTCCGGATAGCCCTATTCCACGGGGACAGGTTCTGGGGCGAGGGGCAGCGAGGACCCCGCACGGTCCCATTTGGGGCTTGCCACAGCGGGGATGGGCTCCTCGGTCTCACGGGCTTACTCGAAACCTCCCGGGGGGCCCTAGACTGGGAAGACGGACTCTGTGCCCTCAGGACGGTTCGATCCGGAGTCTCTTGCGGGAACCGAGTCTTGGGTTCCTGGTGGTGCGCCTCCTGGATCTTCTCCCCAGACTGCAGGAAGATGCTGGAACTAACTGGACCCAGAGGCTCGGTCCCGGGCGCGGGCTTGTCGCGCCGAATTGCGCGCTCACGGAGGCTAGGCCACGGTCGTGGGGCCCTGGCGGGGGCTGAACTATAATGCACACGAGGTGGCCGAGACCTGGCCTCCTTCAGAGCCACTCGAGTACTGCGGGGCGTTTCCGGGGCCGCAGGCTCTGGCGGTACCGTGGGTCCGAAGGTGGCGCTGCTTGGGGCAGGGGTCGCGGGGCTCAGTTTTCTGGCCAGCGCCGTCTGCACGAGGTCCGCGGCAGCCTGCAGGCGGCCCAGAGACTCGTCCAGGGAGCCGGTGCGCAGGAACAGTCGCGGGGGCGGCGCGCTGGCCTCCCGCGGAGGACTCCGGGGCCGGGGGCGCAGCTCGATCTGACGTTTGGGCACCGTCCGGGTCCTGGCAGGCGCGGCACGCTCCTCCAGCGCCACCTCCACACACTCGAACTGCGCTGGGGTGGCAGGACTCGGCCCGCGGGGTCGCAGCTGCAGGTAGGTGGCCCAGCGGGAGCCACCGTCGGGGCCCTGGGGCTGCGGTTCGGCAGAGATAGGAGACGCGGAGCCGGGCGGAGAGAGGCTGCGGAAGGCCTGCGTCGTGAGCTGTTGCACCTCGCTATCCTCTGCGTCAGAACGGCTGAACAGGGGCCCGGCGCCGAAGATGACTTCCATCTCCCCCGACGGCAGCATGCGCAGCTGGGGCTGGGGTGGCCGCGGGCCCGAGGCCGGGCCTCGCGGGAAACCCGAGCCGGGCCCGAGCTGCTGGCGGCTATTCTGGGCACTGACGGACAGGCGAGGCTGCGCGCCCTCCCCCAGCACAGGGGCCACCGTGGGCCAATTCGCCCTGCCCTCCGCGTCCGGCCCAACGTCCGGGGGCTCTGGAGAACCCGGAGCCGTGTGGTAGGAGCCTGACGAACTGGAGGAGTCCTGGCGCCGCGCGGGGGCCGCGGGCAGCCGCCCTGGGACCCCGGGCAGGGTTGGTGGGGCGAACGCGGTCAGCATGCTGAGGCCGGACGCCGCGCACTCTCTCCCTCGCGTTCGCCTCTGCTGGTGCCGCGGATGCCAGCACTGTCCCCGCCCCGCCCGCGGGTGCCGTGGGGTCACCGCGCCTTAAAGCGGCCGCGTCCGCTCCCGAGACGTCGGCATAGGCAGCCAGAGAGACCTGGGCCCTGGGTCCTACCCTCCCAGACCCCTTCTCCGGCGCGGCCAGAGAGCCTGGGGTGGCATTCCAGGCTTTGGTGAGGGGAGGGCAGGCATCCAACTTGTACGCAGGAGCTAGGCCCAGCTCCACTCATCCATCACAGGTGACGGAACGGAGGCTAAGCAGGGACCTGCCTGAGATCAAGCACTACGGCATGTGGATCAGAGTGTGAGCCAGGAGACCAGACAACTAAGGTCTTGCTAACAATTTCATCTTTATGTCAGCCCCCCGCGTCTTCCCATCACTGCAGTGCACCCCTCCTCCCTGGCCCTCCCATAGCCTATCGCTAGAGCTCATAAGGGTGCATCCCCCCTCACCTTTGATAGAGGAGCGTGGCTTGGAGGGCTCCCCCCGACTCCAAAAGTTGTACTGGGGCCTCAAAAAACTGCTGTCCCTGGCTGGACCCACTGCCCTTAGTGGAAACCTAGGCTGGAGGGGACAGTTCTAGCTTTTCAGGCTTCCAGAACAAGTCCCGGATGCTGATGTGGCATCTCTTAGGAACCTCTGGGGTAGCTGTGGTCCCTTCTCTAAAGCCCCTCTGAGGCAAGAATAGCTCTGTGCTCCCCCATACACTCACAAGGCCCTCATCCAGCCCCTGCCACCTTAGGACTTGCCCTGGGGACAAGTGCCGATGGGGAAGCAGCCACCACCTGTCACTCTCCTGGGACAATGACAATGGGCACCACTTGCCCTTAAACTTCTGGCTTCAAGGTCCTGCTATGACTCAGGCCCCAGCTGGCCCTGGAGCAAGAGCACTGGCCCCTCCTACGCATTCATTCTCACACTGAGCCAGGAAAGGCTAGACTTGACAAATCTGACTCAGCCTCCCTTGAGTGGGACCCCTGCCTGGTGTGTCCCCTTTTTCACCTACGGCACATTAGTGATGGCTTCTGAGAGGATCCAACCTGTCCATCACATCCAGCCCTGCGTATGCAACTTGAGCACGTCATAGCCCCTTCACACACTGTTACCCCACCTTAAAAAGACATAGCAGAAGAAAAACACACACACACAACACAGCATTGTCCTTTTTCCTTCCTCCATTTGTGCAGACTAATAAGCTTCTAAGTTTGGGAGAAGTGTAAGAAGGTGCAAATGTGATTCACAGGTACAGCGTTATTGTTATGTGATGGAAACTGATTTCCCAAATTCACTGTGGTCCTGGAACCCACCATCTTTGAGCTCTCCAGTCGGGGCTTCTCATAGACACATACACAACACATACACAGATAGCCCTTCAAGTTGGGAGAGTTAAATTTACCAGGGCACTGGGGTAACCAGGGTTGTTTATATAGGAAGGAATTTAATACCAAGAGTAAGAAGGGACAGTGCCTACTAGACAACCAAGTAGTCCTTCCCTAGGCTACAACCCCATACCCCCATGGGCCCCCACTACTACCCAAAGGAGGGAGGGAGGGGAGTAGCAGGGGCTGGAGACTCGAGGAGCATCCGTTCTGAACACAGCAGTGGCCTGGCAGGTGGTGGTCCAAAAGGCAGGCAGGGAAGAAGGAAAGAGTGTCTTTTGCCTTTCGCCCTACCTCTTCCCTGGGGTCCAGGCCACTGTGAGGCCTGAGGGAGGTACCCACAGGGATCGGAAGGGTCAGGATGGGGACCACCACAGCAGAGAAGGCAGAGGTTGGGCATTACAGCCAGATAACAGGAAGGAGACGCCCATTTTATTTTTCCCTGGAACACTGGCGGCTCCAGGTCTGACGCATCCCCGAGGCTTTCTTATGCTTCTGGTCCAGCACCTGGGCCATGTAGTTCTCCTGCTGCTTCTGGATCCAAAAGTCAGACATGTGATTCCTGCAACGGAGCCGGCTGGGCATGGGCTGGGGACAGCCCAAGGGTAGGGACCAGAGGTCTGGCTCCCCACTTCCATCAACAATCCCCAGCCTGGCCTGGACCCCTCACCTGAAGATCTCTTTCTGCTGGCTGATAACTTGCTGCAACTCCTTAATCTCATTCTCTTTGCCATTAAGTATATCTTCTTGCTTTATAACGTGAGACTCAATTTCTGTGGGGGAGAGAGGCAGGGAGGAGGAGTGGTTCCCATCCCATGAGCTCCTTCCTGAAATAAGGCATTCCCTCAGGGGTCTCTTCAGAACTTGGCTCCCCCAATGCAGAGGTTGTCCAACAGTAGTTGCTAATACCTTCGTAAGAATGAGTTTATTATGGAGTCATGATGGGGTGGGAGTGGAGGGCACAACATCTTGATGAATGTGTCAGTGACTTTACAGCTCTATTCTGGACCAGGTAGCTCACATGAGGGCAGGCAAGGGCCCTTGGAGAGAGATGGTCAGCCCTGCCCAAAAGCAGGAGGATGAATGGCTCCTGCCCTCAACTCCTGCAGCTCTTTACAGATATCACCTCCTTGGTGAGACCCTTCCTAGTCCAAAATCACAACCCTTCCCAATACTTCCTATCCCCTTTTCCTGCCTTATTTTCCTTCTTAGCACTTATATCTCACAGACCATACATTTTGCTCATTTGTCTTTTCCTCTACTAGGATATAAGGTCCACAAGGACAAGGATTTTTTGTTTTATTCACGGCTTTAACCCTAAGGCCTAAAATAGTACCTGGCACGTACTAGATGTACAATACTTTTACTTGTGGAATGAACAGGATGTCCCCTGGGCCTTTAGGTTTTAGAAACATCACCTAGTTCAGTCATTTCAATCCAACCAGACCTACTGAGGACCAGCTGGATGCCCAGCCCTGTGTTAGGGCCTCAGGGGAGAAGACAGGATCCCTATTCCACAGGGCGGGTGGGGAGGACCCAGGGAGACAGTGGTGGCAAAGATTAAGTGCTCATTAGAAGCAAGCGTAAGTTTTGTGTCTTGGGTTAAAATCCAGTAAGGCTGTAGGGATCTCGGGTTGCTTCATTTACATAATGTCCCTCAGGGAGTCCTGGAAAATTCTGATCCTCAAAGGAAGAAAATCCTACTGCTTTTAAAGGCTGGACAAAGATTAACTAGAACATAAGCTCTGAAAATGCAGATATACTGAAGCAGTGAAGGTTTCAAAAGAGAAGATCTGATTAAAAAGTTAAGGCACACGTTACAGAGAGACATGGGTGAAGGAAAAGAATGAAAACATGGGCTCACTGGGCCACAGGACCAGGACTATTGAACCTCCTTCCCCAGGTCATCCAGTGAATCCAAACTGATTGTCTGTGAAGTTCTTATGGGAAAAAAGTAACATAGGGCTTCCCTGGTGGTGCAGTGGTTGCGAGTCTGCCTGCCGGTGCGGGGGACACGGGTTCGTGCCCCGGCCCGGGACGCAAAAAAAAAGTATCATAAATGTGTTTCTTTTAAAATAAATGAGAGCTAAATTTAGAATAAACAGCACCCAATGAGAGAATGGTTAGAAAAGCCTTTTGAGAATAAGGAACTATGTAAGAGTAAAACTGGAACCATGCAAAGGGAGGTAGCGGGGGTGGGAGACAGGCCAGGGGGTAGCTCAGGTCACCAGATCTCCTCATGTGAGGGCTTATGCCCTACTGGAGGAGTTCAGGACTTTCTTGGGGGAGGCAGCCAGGCTCCTCCCCGTGACTCACACACCTTCCACAAGCAGTCACAGAGCCCCGAGGCCCTGGCTGATCTCTAGGAAATGTCCTAGAGGAAGGGCCTCTAGCAGCACCAGGAAAGAACCCTAGGTTCCTTTTAGGGAAGTGGGGGGATGTCCAGGGAAAGGGGAAGGACTAGGAGACCAACATCCTTGGGTATGGAGGCACTGACTGCCTGTTGGGCTCCAGGAGGTCCTAACAGGAGCTCTTTTTTTAAATTTATTTATTTTATTTTTGGCTGCATTGGGTCTTCGTCGCTGCGCGCGGGCTTTTCTCTAGTTGCGGTGAGCGGGGGCTACTCTTTGTTGCGGTGCATGGGCTTCTCATTGCGGTGGCTTCTCATTGCGAAGCATGGGCTCTAGGCACGCGGGCTCAGTAGTTGTGGCTTGTGGGCTCTAGAGCGCAGGCTCAGTAGCTGTGGCGCACAGGCTTAGTTGCTCTGCGGCATGTGGGATCTTCCCGGACCAGGACTCGAACCTGTGTCCTCTGCATTGGCAGGCGGATTCTTAACCACCGCACCACCAGGGAAGCCCTAACAGGAGCTCTTGATCAAACAACCATGAGGCTTGTTAGTCCACTTGGCCAGATTAAGATGGCAGCCTGCTGGCATCTTTCCAGTGACAGTACTCACCAGGGGAGAGAGAAGGCTGCATTGGTGGGTAGGGAGTGCCCAAGGCTCCAGGTGGGGGCCCATCAGGAGAGACACTGAACCTCTTTTGGGCTTGAATTCTGGCCTACTCGAAATGAATGCTGCAGTGAATGAAGGAAATGTTGTATATGGAATTCACATCTACTTCTTTTTTTTGCGGTACGTGGGCCTCTCACTGTTGTGGCGTCTCCTGTTGTGGAGCACAGGCTCCGGATGCGCAGGCTCAGCGGCCATGGCTCACGGGCCCAGCCACTCCACAGCATGTGGGATCTTCCCAGACCGGGGCATGAACCTGTGTCGCCTGTATCGGCAGGCGGACTCTCAACCACTGCACCACCAGGGAAGCCCCACATCTACTTCTTAAACTAGGTAAGGGGAGTTTAGCATTCTGGGAAAATGAAAGGGGGTCCTAAGGTCTCAGGACACTGGGTAGCTCACTGAAAGTGCCCCACAACTCAGAGCACCAACTGAGTCAACAGGTGGCCACAGGCATCTGCATAGAGCAGAGTTGAAACCTAATGGCCCACAGACATATTTTCCTTGGCCCATACAATATTTTAAAAATTTTTAAATCAGTTGCCAACCCTAAAAAGTCAGAAAAGCTTCCATTAAAATGTGGTCTCCAGTTTCTTTTTTAAAGATCTGACAGTACTGGGCCCCTATTCCTACGGCAGAGGTTCTAGGCCCTTGAGAGGGGGCATGGTTCTCCACATTACCACAGTCCCCACCGCTCCTAGTGGATCCCCAACACTGAAACTAAGGGTCAGATTCCACACAGCACTGTGATTGCCCCGTTGTTCCTCTGGTAACAGAGTTATAAGTCAAGTACACTATTTCTAATAGTCACCAAAAGTGGGAAAACAAAAAGGTAGGCTAAGAAGGTCATATGTTTCAAGAAAAATGGGAGCGAGCCCATTCCTTTATGGCCATGAAGAATACTGTACACCAACTACTTCCCTCATTTCCGTGGCCTGCCTGGTCCCTGAAGGCCTTTGCGAAGGTGTGGCCCACCTGGGCTTGCCTTTATCCTCAGCCAGGGGCAGAAGTTGGGGTGAAACCCTGCTCTGAACACCGGCACTGGGCTGTGAGGGAAGAGCCCACGTACGTAAGCATGGGAGGGAGCGTGGGCCTCCCGCCTACCATTGCACTTGGTGATTAGCTGGTCCTTCTTGCTGGACTCCTGTGGGGCTCTGCTCTTGGCACTGGAGAGCCTGAGTGGAGAAGATAAGAAAGGGTGGGAAGGCTGATGGGCAGATGGGACCCCCAACCGTTCCCCCACTACCAAGGCCCACTCACGCCTTTTCAAAGGCCAGCTTCTCTTTCTCCAGCTGTTTAGACAGCACCTCTACATCTCCGAGGGCAAACTGCAACTTCTCCTCTTCCTTGGCCAGGAGAACCTTGGTCTTGGCATGGGCAGCTTTCTCTTCCTGCAGGGGCAGCAGCAGTGACCTCATTATCCCAAGCCACTTTGGGTCTCCTAGGCTCCCTTAACCAGCCCCCTTTCTCAGAATGGCACATAGAATCCAGGGTACAGGAAGATTCTGTCCTTACTATTGGGGCTGGAGGCTCTCAGAGGCTAATACTCAATGACTCTACCCAATCACAGGGATCCTGGGAAATGGGGGAAGCTTAGAAGCTGACAGAGGCCATCACTTACCACCAGCTTTTTCTCCACTGCCTGGAACTCTTCTTTACTGACAAAATTTTCATCCTGGAGAACCATCTGCAACAGAGGCTGGCTCAGGGAGGGGCTGGGGTGGTAGGGGTTTCTCTCGGGACCAGGACTGAGAATAGATAATGGGATGCCCAGGGCACCTAGGATGACACTGGGGCCCAGGAAAGGGAGAGTTCATTCCACAAGATTCACTGATGCTCAGCTCTATGTCCTGCCCTCAAGTAGCAAGAAGTCTCATGGAGAAGACAGCCCATGGCCACCACTTCTAACATGGTGTGTGCTATGATGGAGGTTCCCAGAGGAGGCCCCTGACCCGCCTGGGGAAGGGTCAGAACAGCTTGAAGGGAAGGGGATGTCAACTTGATATCTGACTGCTAAATAGGGGTGGGCCAGAAGAAGAGGATGGAAAAGAAAAGTGTTCCAGACGGTGAGAACACACATGCAAAGGCCAGCTGCCAACAGAAAGACCTGGGTACCTAAAGGTATGCAGGTAATTCAGTGTCCAGAGCTGCATACTACCGTTAAAGAAATAGATGTGAAGTCAGTTTTATGTGTCCCCACCTTCTTACCCAGATAAAAAACAAAACAGAAAAACCATGAACTCCAGTTGGCCAGCGTTTTACCATGCCTGTCCATGTAATCTGTGGCTCCAATGCTTTGCACACATGAACGGGGGTTTGACCAAAAAAGCAAAAGCAAAGGGACATAAAGGGATTGGAAGCCTTTAAGTCAACATGTGAAGAGCCAATTCTGTGCTTACTGCACTCATCATGGGGAGGGGATTCCATAATAGGAAGGATGTTATAGTTACTCTGCACACAAGGGCCTTGGCAAGTCAGTGAAGTCATCTTCAATTAGAAATGAGGAAATTGGGAATTCCCTGGCGGTCCAGTGGTTAGGACTCCAGCTTTCACTGCGAGAGGCCGGGGTTGGATCCCTGGTCAGGGAACTAAGATCCCGCAAGCCATGTGGCGAGGCCAAAAAAAAAAAAAAAAGAAGAAATGGGGAAACTAAAGCTCAGCGAATAGATGGGCATATCTATCAGGCCCTGCACAACCAGTCAAAGAGAGTAGGAAACAACTTGGCGTTGACTAAAATTCCCCGGTAAATATTCACGAGACACTGCCCCCTTTTGGCTCCACCTCTACCAGCCGGAACACATCTGGGCCCCGCCTCCTCGTGATGACGCCATTGGCAATGTGCTCTCGGCCCGCCCCTGGCATCGGGACAGCGTCTGGCCCCGCCCCCACCACTTAGGCGTCCAGTCCGGCATCCCCCAGCTCTTCTGGTTGCGTACCACGTTCCTCAGCTGGTGGATCAGTTCCTCCTGAGCCTCAATCACGTCCCGCAGTTGATCGAAGGCGAGACACACTGATCCTGAACCCGCCTGCGACCACCCGACGGGCGTCCCCATCTTTCGCCCCCGCCAGCTCGTTGGAAATGGCTGCCGCGGCTTGCCTCCCCGCTGACGCCTACCAATGAAAATGAGACGCCACAAAGCACCCTGGCAACCAGGGGCGGGGACTTCCTTTGTTAGCAGGGATGGGGCCCGCCTCCTAAAGGAGCCGCTCTCTTAGAGGAGCCGCCTGGGTAAGAGAACCTCCAACACCGTTAGTAATTTAAGTTTATAGGGAATTTGCATATCTATTATATGATATGTTTCTCACGCAGTCCTGAGGAGCGGGCAGGCAACACTCAGACACCAGCCCTCACCCTTCTCCCAGGGCCCAAGACCCTGAAGCAAGGGTCAGCTGAGACAACCCCTGCATATTTAGCTTCACATGTCTCTTTATTCCACTCTAATCTCTAAATTTCCCCCATAGTATGAGACTCCAGCCTCCTGTGATCTTTATTCCTCCTAGGAACACACTTAGTACTTAGGGGGCCTGAGCCTAAGCAATGAAGGGAAGCTCAAGAATAGAAAAGGAGAGTGGCTTCACCCAAGATAAGAGTCCTCACATTCTGGTACCAGGCTCTGGACAGCCTGAAGAGCCTGAAGATATTAGAACTGAAGTCAGGCATGAAGGAGACTTGTAAAATGGAGGCAGGGAAGGATAAGGTGATCACACATCCCCACCAATCCTCATTGAGGGCTTTTTTTTTTTTTTTTTCCTGTACGCGGGCCTCTCACTGCTGCGGCCTCTCCCGTTGCGGAGCACAGGCTCCGGACGCGCAGACTCCGCGGCCATGGCCCACGGGCCCAGCCGCTCCGCGGCATGTGGGATCCTTCTGGACCGGGGCACGAACCCGGGTCCCCTGCATCGGCAGGCGGACTCTCAACCACTGCGCCACCAGGGAAGCCCTGAGGGCTTGTTTTGAAACCCAAATAAGATTACGCTCAGGCTATTAGATATTAGCTATTACCAGAGCTAATATTTATCGAGTATTCACTATTTCATGACACCATTATGCCTTATTAGTGTTATTTCATGTGATCCTCACAATAACCTTGTGAAGTAGGTTCTAATGTCCACATTTTACAGATGAGAAAATGCAGGTTCTATGAGAATGAATAACCCAATAAGCCAAGGTCACCCAAGCTAGTGAGCCTTGGAACAGGGTTTTGACAGAGGCAGTCTGATTCTAGAGTCCATGTTCTTAACCGTGATGCTGTGATGCATTTTGGTTGAACATAATGGATTCTGAAGTTATGGAATTTGAAACCCGCAAGTAGGAAATGACTAAAATAAGAAGGAGTTTGGAAAAAATGTTGTCGATGACCACAAAGGGAAGTTGAAATTTCAGGTAAGCCACTTAGGCTGCTCTCCTTAGCTGCTTAGGTGCCTCTTTTTGGCTGGATGTTGTGACCTAACAAACATGGCCATTCCTGTGGCTCTCCCAATGGTAGCCCTTGTTTTATCTTTCCTTTTTTATTGTGTCTGTTCTCATGTCCTTGAGGGCAAGGCCACCTCTGTTGATCAGTTTTTAAGGGCCTAGAGCTGTAGAGTCCAACAGAATTTCTCTGATGGAAATGTTCTGCACCGTCCAGTACCAGCAGCCAGTAGCCTCCTGTGGCTCAGCAGTACTTGAAATGTAGCTCAGGTGACTGAGGAATTGCTTTTTAAATTTTTTAAAATTCCAATTTAAATTTAAATAGCCAGGGACTTCCCTGGTGGTGCAAAGGTTAAGAATCCACCTGCCAATGCAGGGGACACGGGTTCGAACACTGGTCCGGGAAGATCCCACATGCACGGAGCAACTAAGCCCGTGCACCACAACTACTGAGCCTGGGCTCTAGAGCCCGTGAGCCACAATGGCTCACGTGCTGCAACTACTGAAGCCTGTGTGCCTAGAGCCCATGCTCCTCAAGGAAGAGTAGCCCCCGCTCACTGCAACTAGAGAAAGCCCAGGCACACCAATAAAGACCAAACGCAGTCAAAAGTAAATAAATAAATAAATAATAAATAAATTTAAATAGTCATATTTGGCTAGTGGCTACTGTATTGGGTATCATGGGACTATAGGGTGCTCTGTGGTTTATGTGCCTCAGGACAGAGACCTCTAGGAACTTTGTCTTTCAAATGTGAATGCTCCTTTGAATTACCCTGGACAAAGCTGCACATTGCTCTGGGGCAGCGATCACTGAATCTCCCCATGGACTCTGTCCCCTCTCTAGGGTCTTTTAGGAGGTGCTGCTTGATGTTCCCTTGCCACTCAACATTCACCTCCGCCAGCTGCCCTCCACATTTAGGGCAAAACCCTAAAAGGCTCCAGCAGCCAGTTCCTGAGGATGGGAAGTTATGAGCAAAGAGAGAACCCTGGATCCAGGTCCGCACCCTGCATACTAACATGGACATGAGGGACGGTCACCCTGGTTGGGGATTGCCACGGACTCCCACTCTATGTCAACAAAAACTACAGGTTCTTAGCCAGCTGGGGCTCAGCAAAGCTCAGAATAACATGACATCACAGATAGCTTTGTGATCCTGCCCTGGGAAGTGCTGCCTTTCTGCACAGGCTTGTCATACTGGTTGATGTTCTGGTTATCTACTGCTGTATTAACAAATCACCCAAAATTTACAGCTTAAGAAAATCACTTTGCTCAGGAATCTTCACTTTGGGCAGGGTTCAATAGTGAAAGCTTATTTCTGCTCTATGCCTGGGATGGTTAGTGGGGTGGGGGGTGAGGGTATGAGAAGTTCCACTTCCAGGACGGCTCACTCGCATAACTGGCAAGTTGGTGCTGTCAGCTGGGAGCTCATCTAAGACTCAGGACCAAGGTTCTTGGTTCCTCACCATGCGCCACTTGGGCTTTCTCATAGCATGGTGATTGGGTTTAAAAGAAAGCATCCAAAGTGATGAAACAGAGGGAATACCCTAGTGGTCCAGTGGTTAGGACTCTGTGCTTCCACTGCTGGGGGCCTAGGTTCCAAAAACAAAAACAAAAACAAAACACAAAGTGACGAAATGAGAGATGCCAGTTTTCTTAAGGCCTGGGCCTAAAAACTGGCATAGTGTCATTTCTGCCCAACCCTATTCGTCAAGGAACCACAGAGTCCATATTCAAGCAGTGGGGACATGTCCTACCTTTTTTTTTTTTTTCCTTTGCGGCACATGGGCCTCTCACCTCAGTGGCCTCTCCCCCCGCGGAGCACAGGCTCCGGACCCGCAGGCCCAGCGGCCATGGCCCATGGACCCAGCCGCTCTGCGGCACGCAGGAGCCTCCCGGACCGGGGCACGAACTGCGTCCCCTGCACCGGCAGGCGGACTCCCAACCACTGCACCACCAGGGAAGCCCCATCCTACCTTTTGATAGGAGTAGTTTCAAAGAATTTGAGCTGTACTTCCAGAGGAACTCCTGACAGGTGACATGTCGTTTCCTTCAAGGTTCAGTTCAGATAATACCAGACTGGAACTTAGTCTAATGGGGGAGACAGATAATAATCAAATAAACACCCAAATAAATCCCAGTTTAAGTCACTATTCAAGTAAATAGCATTATAGCTATGAGAGGTACAAGAAAGAGAGGAATGAGAATAATTTAAAAGGAGATTTAGCCCAGCCTGGGGTGTCAGGTGTGAGGAAGAGATGTTTGAGCTGAATGAAACCTATTAAGGTAACCAGGAGGCACTTTGCAAAGGGGGCAGGGGCAAGTGAATGGGAAAGGCTTCCAGAAAGAGTGAATAGTATATACAAAGTCCCTTGGGCAAAAGAGTTGGCATAGTGTAGTAACTAAAAGGCTAGTATGGCAGAAAAGAAAAAGTTGTACAGGACAAGCAGGGGTAGCGGCCAGAAACTTGGTAGAGCCTTGTTAAGTATTAGGCCATACTGAAGACTTTGCTGATTTTTATTACAGGGGCAAAAGAAAGGTACTGAAGTATTTTAAACAAGAGGGTGATATGCTATAATTTATGCTTTGAAAAGATCTCTCTGGTTGAAGCAAGGTGTACAGATTGGAGATGGCCCTAAGTAAATGCACAGACTACTTAGGCAGCTACTGCAGTGGTTTCTGTCAGAGAAAGTGGATGGTATTTGGGAGTCAGGTGGTATCAGAGGAGATGAAGAGAGAAGATGGATTTAGGATGTTCTGGAAGTAGAATTTATAGGACTTAATGATGGAGGGGATATGGGAAAAAGGGAGCCGAGGTGTTTGGTTATCTACTGCTGCAGACTACCACAAAATGTAATGGCTTAAAACAGTAGCCAGGGGACTTCCCTGGTGGTCCAGTGGTTAAGACTCTGCGCTTCCAATGCAGGGGCCGCGGGTTCAATCCCTGGTCGGGGAACTAAGATCCCACATACCGCTCGGCGTGGCCAAAAAAAAAAAAAGAAACAAACATGAGCCAGTGTATTATTTGCTCATGGTTCTGCAGTTTGAACCAGGCTTGGCAGGGCAGCTCATTTCTGCTGTGATCATCAGCGTGGGTGGCAACCAGTTTGGCTCAGATTGTGTCTGGGTTCAGTTCTTGCTGCCAGCTCAGTTGTTTGGTTCTCCTCTGCATGGCTTCTCCATGTGGTTAGCTTGGTGGTCTTAGGGTGGTGGGACTTAAATGGAAGCTGGTTTCCCCTAAGTGCAAAAATGCAAGCTGCTGTTTTTGCCACATTCTATTGATTAAAGATCAAGGCCAGCCTGGGTCAGAAAGGGGACTATACAAGGTCATGAATATTAGGTGTGGTCCACTGGAGGACACCAAATTAAGTCTACCACACAAAGTCTCCTGGGCTTCTGACTTCATATTTGGATGGATGGTGGTGCTATTTGTGGAAATGGGAGCACTCCAATGGTGTTGCTTCTATCCCCATTTAAAAAAAAATCACTGCACTCTGTATGAAGGATGATTACATTTCAAATCTCTTTTCCTCAGAATTGCTTTCACTGATCCTCCATCCTGGATTAAATCCCATTGTTATAGATTCCCAAGCTTCCTTTGGTCTCCCCTTTGACATTCATCCCACCAGGGAGCATTGTCTAATTGGCTCCCCCATTAGATGTGAACTCCA